GTATATATATATATATATATGGTGTGTGTGTGAATGTCTGTGTCTTTTCACTAAGATATCAGCGCTTAAGAGTGATGAAATTTGGTGTTTCGAATCACGAAAAAAGTCAATGTTGATATTGAAGCACTCTACTACGACTCGCTATAGCGATATGAGCGATAGCGATATGAGCGATAGCGATATGAGCGAGAAACTAAGTGGAATTTGAGTATTTTATATTTTTTCAAATACTTTGAAAATAACATTAGTGATCTGCAGTCTTACAGCTATTTGATATGTTATCTTATTATTTATCTTCGTATCTTTTTTTCTCTCTTTTTATCTGATTTCCTATTTGATAAAGAAAGAGTTTTACGTATGTTCTTTAATATTGAATTGTTTTTCATTCACTGCATCAGATAAATTCGAATGAAGAACAATGTAAACGTGGTAGTCTGCGTGGGCTTCGTCACCAAATTAGTATTTCTAAAGTTTTCTGTTAAAACGAGTTTATTTTGCTTACAGTAATTTTTTTAAAGCGTGTTTCCAAGAAAAGCAAATAATTTAAAATGAATAGTAATTGAAATGAAAAAAATAGTTTTGTATTGGAAGGTAAAAGTAATGAAAAATCAGCACTAAATCGTTTAATGCAAACATAAAAAATTGCTGAACTGTCACTGACACCAATGATACCTTTTTGATTTAGGTAATTGAGGAATTTTTAAATAAAAGAAATAAGCTACGTATTTAAAAGCAAAAATAATGAAGTAAAGGAATTGATTCGCTTATAAGAGACGAAAAATATCAGCGTGCTATTATTGATGCTGATAGTGTTGGTAATGTGTATTAATAAGTAAAACATATCTTCTATACTAAAAAAAAGGCGATTTCTCAGTTAGACCAGAGTAAGGGAAAACTCTGTCAACAATGCTTTTTTAATTTTTACTTTTTTTTTACTTTTCTTTATTTCTTTTAAAAAAAGAATCGCTAAGCGAAGTTAATGAAAAAAAAATTACTCATTTGTTTCGTAAAACAGCAAGAAATCACCATATTAGTTTTGAAATCAACGATTAATTAATTTTGATAAAGTGTACTAATTATAATAAAAAATAAGCCATGCACTAGAAAGCAAATTTAATAAGAAAAAGGTATTTATTTGCTTAGGAGGAACCGTGAAAAACCTCCTTAAACTGACGACGCTGCGCAGTTAAATATGTACTGGTGGTGTTATGGTAACTGCTGCTATTCAACTATAGATTTACCGTGGTTTCAGGAAATATTTGTCCCAGTGATAGCACAGATCTCTTAGAGGATTTGAATTTAAAGAAATTTTTTTCACTAATGCTCTAAAACCCTTGTTTCATCAACAATCTACTTTTAAAAAAAATATAATAAATAAACATTTTGGTTCCAGATTGTTCTCACTGATAAAAGCATTAGAATGAAATATTTAGGACTTATAAAAAATTGCACCAATACTGAGCATACTGAATTTCAATTCTTATTATATGAAATACGCGCCTTTCTGCCCTTCAAGAGGTACCCGATAAACCCGAGAAAATTCTAATGCTGACTATCGTGATTTAGCCGCGAGCAATATCACCATGCCAAGTAGTGCTGAGTAAAGCTAAGGTTTGTTCTGATGGGATGTACAATAAAAAACGTAGTTCGCTTAATTTAATAATGAAAAGTCACCGAGAATGTCGACAAACGATGCAAAATAAGAGAAAAAGAATAATTGAAATTATTTTATCTCTATTAATTTTGTCGGTTTATGCCACCAGTCTTATACAGATTGTAGTGTTGTTCATTACGGATTTGTTGACTCCTTTTCTTGTGCATGTCGTTTTAAAAACGAGTATTCAGCGTGTTTTATATAAATATACTTTTTATATTAGTGGTAATTTTTTCGAACAGAAAAAAAGCCTAATTCAATGGATGCCTAATTCAATTCTCCATTAAATGGATGGAGACATTAAAAAATCACGGTTTTGGTGTATATTTACATTATACGTTATTTACATTCATTTCGTATCGCTATTTCCTCTATCGAGTTCCTTTATCCTTAAGTTATAAATCCTAAGCTTAAATTCAAATAAAATTGATTGCAATATTGAAATGTACAATCCAGTTGATTCGCTATANATACTTTTCGTATTGCTATTTCCTCTATCGATCAATTAATATATAATTATATCATTAAGTTATAAATCATAAGCTTAAATTCAAATAAAATTGATTGCAATATTAAAATGTACAATCCAGTTGATTCGCTATATAATATAGTATATTTTCCAAGAAGTAAAATTAAGCAGAATATAAGTAAAATTAAGCTTAATATAACTTTTAATTTCATTTCTCAACTTAACTGAATTAACACGTTGCAATAATGTACAAATCGGTAGAGTGTTAACACACTCAAATATTGATAGTGTTTAGAAGAGGTAAGACGTAACATAAAGATCGAGAATTGGATAGAAACCAATGACCTGAATCGTACGCCGCTTGAGGCGCTTTTGCCTATGTAGAACTTTCTGTTGAACGCTTTTGAATTAGTATATTCATATACCTAAATTATGTGAGTTTCTTATTCCCTAGTAATTGTTGTCGAAATTTGAATTCAAATCATCTAAGAGATAACTGTTTTATCGTAATTTATTAATTTTGGTGTCAATCTGTTTAATATCAAGAAAGAACAAATTTGCTGTCAGTTTTTTGTATGATATTTAAGACGTCTCCCCCCCCCCCTCTTAAATTAAAATAGCCTGAAAAGTAAAATATTTCTTTTTACCTGATATTTAGGGCTATATGTATACGTTGTTGTTTCCATCCCGTTCATGTTTACCATTACATCAATAAATTGGCTAAAATAAAAGTATCTATTATTAGATATTTAATGAAACATAAAATTATTTTTATTTAGTTTAAGCGATATTATTTGATGTACTAATGTATTTATTTTATTTTTCAACCACTTTAATTAATGTTAATAAAATACAGATCCTTTTATTATTTTTTAAACATATTTTTCCAAATTTGTGTTTTTTTTAAAGAATATTAAAACTTAGAAAAAATAACAATTCCAAAAAAACGTACAAGTGCTTCTATAAATATGAGTATTTTTTTTTAATTTTTCGAGAAATATTCCAGTGATTTTTTTTTTAATCTTTTGATTTTGCAAGTTATGTTAATTTAGAACCGAGGTTACCAACATGGGAGTTATTGCCTACTCCACCCTGCGGACAAAGTAGATTTTTAAAGGACTACTAGCAAATTTTATGCTTAATTGGGTTAGATTAGGTTTGGTTAGATTAATTTAAATAATAATAAGTGTTCGGGTTTTCATGATGTACAAACTTTAGATAAAATTTAAATCTACATTAAAATTCACAATTTTTTAATTGTTTTTGAAGAATTATTTACATTTATAAATTGAGCTGTATAAGCACATATTTTAATAATGTCTGTCTTTAAAAAATAGCTTAAAAACGAGGAGAATAAAATACTGTAAAACTCACCTTACGATTTTACATTCTAGAACATAATTATTAATATTTTTAATAATATCTAAGAAAAATTATATTTAATTAAGCTATTATTTAAAACTCTTAAGTGATATATATTGAATTTATCTCTATGCATAAGCTTAAAACGTTAACATATGAGTTATTTTCATTCAAAGCGGTATAATCAAAACACCCTCAATATAAATACATAAATTATTAGGTGTATTTTTGATATCTGGAAAACATAAGAATAGAAGCGGGTCAAAACAAAAATTTTATTTGCTATTTTGTAAGGGGATATAAAAAAATGTTGACTTGCAAAGTGTGCTGGTTTTTTATTTGCTAATAATTTGATTTCTCAGAATCTATTCAGCCAATAATGTCTTTTGCCATGTAAAGTTACATATTTTAAAATTGTGCGCCTTATACTTTTAACTTTTTTCAACTGTTATGTAAAATAATAAAAAAATATTTATTATAATTTATTTTCTGCATGAAATTATCTTTGGGAAGGAGTTTTATAATTTGAAAGTTTTTAGGGTGTATAGAGCTTTTTTTTCGCTCTCTCATTGAAAGTTTGTTTTTAGTGTATAGTTTATTTTGTGTTCTCTGTACACTTGTCTATTCGAAAATCCTTTTACTACCATTCTTTGAAATTGTCTTTTAATCTAACAAGCTAAATTCAATAGAAAATATGAGTAACGTAACCTTTAAAAATGCTGGGAGAATTTAGTTTGTTTAATTTCATTTGCAAAACTCTGTTGCGTAATTGACCGTAATTTTAAGCTATTAACTGCAATATTGGAGACCTTCTGTATAAATTTAATATCTTTTGAAAATGAGTAATATTTTCATTTAGATAGAACTAGTATAATATGAAAAATTCTAAATTGTTTCAATATTCCCTTTAAAATTTTTCTATTAGCACTGATAACATAATTACATTAAGTTGAACGATATATTGGTTCGTTTCAAAATTTCTAACAGTGAGTAGTTCTTGAAATTGTGTATAAATATCGTTATGCAATATTGTTTATATTTATCATTGAATTAAATTTTGGACCCTCTGCACTATAAGACATGAACATTTAATTAAATACTTACTAGCCCACTGGTTGGTGTGGACAATTTGGCTGCAAAGAAAAAAAATAATTTGAATTCATAGTCTTACATTGAATTACATATTCTCAAAATAAAAATACTGTAACAGTAGCTATCTAGAAATTTTTTAGGTTACTTCGAAACTGAATAAAATGTGTCAACTGAGAAAGTGTTAAATTATGGAATGTACCAATTTCTTCTGGCATGATTGTCCCACGTTTTTATCCCGACATATTTTTTCCATATGTATCCATACGAAAATTGACAAAATAAAATATCCTTACAGATCCATATTTAGTGACATTATATATCATTGCCGTTATATACATTACGTTATGTACATTATGCATATAATACAGTATGACCACAATGAAAATGTTCAATAAACTGTGGGCATGGAGGGTATATAATTAAAGTGAAATGGTATTTAATTTAATGATACTATTAATGGTATTTAATGTATTAGTTTAATTAATGGTATTTTATTGGTATTAATGCATTTCCCGGTGCAAGCGTTTCGAAACACAAAGTTTAGTGGACAATGTTTGATATGGGACAGCGTAGTAGATGTCTCACTTGTGTGCCTCTGATGATCAAGAGTCACCGTCAAATTATCCAAAGTCCATTGGACATTGCCCAGGAGCCATTGACAATGGACAATAGAAAAAAGTTGTCTGGTCAGATAAATCACGATTTTTCATTCATCATATCGAAGGTCGTGTCAGAATATGCATCTTCCAAGTGAACAGTTAATACCCACATATACAGTGAGCAGCTTAAAAAAACGTACCACCCCGAATAACTCTTGCTCTAAATATCGACTCTTCCCTTTTCAGGACTTAATGGTTTAAGAGATTAACTTCAAATATACTAATTAGTTAATGCAAATAATATTTTCGGGGCTAAATCATGAAAATTTCACATCTTTCTTTGGCCAATGATGACCACAGTACTGACGAAAAATATCTTCAGTGGCAGACGGATCATGATTTAGAGTCCCTCTTGCTGTCTAGCTAACCACAGGAGGGTTTCTCTATTTTCCTCACTATGCGACGCAATTGCAGGTCAATTATATCAAAAATTCCTCAAAGTAGAAAAATTTCTTTCAATACTTCATCCAAGAGTTCCCTATTCTTCTGGATCGGATTCTAAGTTACGGAGCTGAGCATTGATAAACGTAAACTCATAATTAGATCGGCGGTTTAACGAAGGTTATTAAATGAAATAGTTTTACTAAATAACTGAGAAAATATCCCGATTCCCACGCATGCTTCTGGTTGAAACTTAAAATGTTAGTTTACAGCATATTTTTTCATGAATATCTAACTATATAACTAAAATGCTGGACGTGAATACTAATTGTGAGAACGCCTTTCGTTTTAAATAGTAAATTAAAAGAGAAAATTTAGATAAATAAATAACATAAAAAGAATTGTGAAAGCTCTTTATGTTTCTATATATATCAAGCTAAGATATATCATGCAATATGTTTATATATATCAAGCAATATATACCAAGCTATATCAAGCTGTTTAATCTTGATGTTCAAGAACGAATTGAGAATATATATATACACCGAGGAACCATTACATTATGACCACCCTCCATCTATAACAATGGGCTCACCCAGGTTTTCATGGTTTCTCGCCCAGGAACAATGTTTCCATGGGGCACATTAGGACCCATAGTTCTCATAGAACAATCCCTGACGTCTGTAAGCTACTTGAGCATAGTTGCCGACCAGGTTCACCCATTCAGGGCCACAGTTTTTCCTGCGGGGGATGGTGTTAACCAACCGGATAATGCACCATGTGTGTCAAATCGTCATGGATTGGTTCGAGGAACATTCCAGTGACTTCCAAGTCATTTCTTGGCCCCCAAATTCACTTGATCTTAATTCAATCGAGCATTTGTGGTCCTACTTGGAAAACCAAATTCGTGCTGCCACTCTACTCCCTCGCAATGTGAGCGCTTGGTACTAGATACCTCAGACTGCCTATCAGCACCTTGTGGAATCAGTGCCTTTGATAGCTAAAGGTGGTCCTACATGTTATTAGCAGGGTGGTCATAATGTAATGGCTCTTCAGTGTATATATACATATAATTTTTTGTTTTATTTATCTAAAAAAAAAACTTATTAAAAATCCTGAAAACAAAATTAGAAACATTCAATCTCTTCACCAGCTCGCACGATTATATCCTGAATATTAATTTTCTTAATTTTTCCCTTTCTCTTTTTTTATCCATTTTGTGCTATATATNATATATATATTTGCGTGTGTTTAGTCGAATTTTTATAGTACATGATTATATTTATTAGAAGTAAATAATAAAAACTTACGTGAGTTTTTACTAACTGTTTGTTAGTTATCTCTCTGGTTACTTCATAACTTTCCTCACTGTCAAAAACACAAACGAGAAACATAAGTTAATTATGTTTCTAACAGAGCATTCTTTTTAGACAGTTATAAATACCCTCATAAGTAATTTTAAGCAATAAATAGAGATTTTGCACAAGATTACACATTTTATTATGGTTCCTGATGCTAACTCTTACTACTATGGCTCCTAAATCTAATTTCATGGTCCCTTACTCTTACGTTATCTCTATTTGCTCTTAACAGTTCATGTAGGAAAATTTCCCTACAAACCAAAATGCAATTAAAAAGAAGAAAATAATGTTAAAGTTACGGTTAACGTTATAAAAATGCTAAGAAAATGCTCTCTATCTTTAAAAGTATAATACAATTTATTAAAAATTTTTGAAATATTTTTGTTAAGTGTGGGTAGTATAAGGTCTTCAAATAATGCGATTAACTTGTATTGTTTCAAAATTTCAAACTTTTTGATTACATGCCTAAGGTCACATAATTTATTGAGTAATTCGATAACATAAAGTTTAAACTTTATAAATGTCTCCATGTGCATGCCTATATTTTATTGATTTACTTCTATTAATTCTCTTGCAATTTTTATTTCTACCTAATCGTGGCAGAAGTTCTGATACAAAATTTAAGACTTCTTCCATGAACTCAAACGTTCGGATACATTGTACTAATGGAATTCTTTGGTAGTTATTCTCAAAATGTGACCTATTTATTTCCACTTTTTTTTTCTTTTCATGTAATGTGTGATTGATTCTTATTTTGTTTCATAGTAGACGTCTAAGCTAGATACAGACAAATTTTTTTTAAAACTATTTTAAAATACTTTTAGAATATTTCTTAAACATCTATTTCAACGGCTAGTTTTTTTTAAATTCTGTAGTTAGTTAGTTTTTATGTTTCGAATCCATATACTAATAGTACACTACTTACTATGAAATTAAAAAAATTGTTTTCAGTCTTTGGCATTCAAGCAGTTGATCACTTAAACTTTGCCTGTCTTTACAACAATATTTAATTTCTAAAAATCTCCTATTTCTGAATCAGTTCTAACCTTTTTATTAACTATTGCAATGTAAGCAAATTTTTTCACATCCTCCATTTTGCCCCTTTTAATTTTAATTTCGCGATAAGCCTTACCATTTACGCAACATAGAAATTGTTTTATTTTTATTAATCTTCAGTTCCACGCTTTATGAATATTTTTCAAAAATAGTTCCCTTTAAATTTGATGGCAAATTAATAAATGCCATCTACAAACTCTAAACGTTCATTTATTTCGACGTATAGGATTGTATGTCTCATTATCCAATTAGTTGAAATTTAAGAGCAACTATCCTGACACCATACACCCTTTTGTTAACCCCCTCTCCCCATGCTAAAGGGCTATGTGTCAGGTTTTCATTTACTTCACTGTCAGTCCTTGCAATGTTCCTTATAAATCCTTCGAGAATACCATATACACCGAAGAGCCATTACATTATGACCACCCTGCTAATAACACGTAGGACCACCTTCAGCCCTCAAAACTGCTAGTACCAGCTGTGGTGCTACCACAAGGTGATCTGAGGTATCTGGTACCAAACGCTACACAACTGGTCCTGCAATTCCCTCACCTTGCGAGGGGGTAGCGTGGCACCACGAATTTGGTTTTCCAAGTAGGATCACAAATGCTCTATTGGATTAAGGTCAGGTGAATTTGGGGGTCAAGACATAACTTGAAAGTCACTGGAATGTTCCTCGAATCAATGCATGACGATTCGACCCTTAAGACATGGTGTATTATCCTGTTGGTAAACACCATCCCCGGCAGGAAATACTGTTGCCATGAATGGGTGATCTTGGTCTGCAACTGTGTTCGAGTAGCTAACAGACGTCAGGGATTGTTTTATGAGATAATGGGTTCGAATGTGCCCCATGAAAACATTGTTCCTGGGCGAGTAACCATGAAATCCTGGGAGAGCCCGTTGTTATAGACGGAGGGTGGTCATAATGTAACAGCTCTTCTGTGTATAACAAAAATTTTTCATAGTATACCTCCATCAATAGGCATTAAAGCTTTTTGAAAGTCAATGAAATTCTTGATCAATGATTTCTAAAATTCGTGACTTTGTTCAATAATATTCTTTAAGTAAATATTTTGCTCATGGGCTGTAATAGCGGGACAACTCAAAAAAAATCATGTTTTGAGATAAGTGGTTTTAAAGTTTTCATTGCTAAGGAACATGCGGACGAAATGCTTTAGTTTGCTTAAACGAAGATTACCTTCAAGTTGAATTATTAGTTGTGCTAGTATTGCTTCTGAAAAGAATGTGTATTTTCATATTTACACCTGTTCTTAGTCCAAAACGAGTGTTTTTTCAGTTGTGCCACTATTCCAACCCATGAGCGATTTGCTGAATTTGTTGAACGCTGACTCCTCTGTAGTTATTGCGACCGGAAAGTGCTCCATTTTTTTGGAATTTTTACGATGGATTTAAAAATGAAGTGTTCTCTTCTAGGTGTTTTAACTTTTAGCAGCTCTTCTCGATTTACGTACCACGGCAAGCTTAACCCCCTGGAAGAGTGGTCAGGGAGCTGACCTCATTTCAGAAAGGCAATCTAAGCTTTGAGTTTCAATAACCTTAAAGTGGCCGGAATAG